AGCGGCCAGTCCCTGGTCGGGACCACAGTGGGGTGAGCGCCGCTGTCCCTCGCAAACACGACCTGGTTCCCCGGCACTGGACGGACAGGCACCCTTCTCACCGCGTAGGAGGTTTAGGTCTTGGGTTTTCAGATTCAGCGGTTTCTGAGGAAGTACCTAGTAGTTCGGAGATGTCAGGTGACACCTCAGCCGTTCCTTGGGGACCAACGGTGACTTAGTCCCCGTGTATGCGTGTGCGTGTGCATGTGTGCATGTGTGAAGGACCAGAGACCTGGTCATTCTGCTGCGTGCGGACTGTCAGTGTTCACTGCTGAACCAAGGGTTTTCGACTCCGAGCTAGAAAAGTGCCAGTGTGTCTGAGGAGGCTTTCTAAGAACAACACTAGGATGTATTTGGAAGACAGTTCAGTGGCTCGGAAATGCAAATGCAAACGCAAATGCAAATGCAGTTGACGCTGAAGCTGAGATCCTCCGCGCCGCCCCGCCCCGCCCCGCCCCGCCCCGCCCCGCCCCGCCCCGCCGGCTGGGAGGCGGCTGCAGGTGCTGGGCGGGGCGGTGCCTCGGACCTTTGCCTCCCGGGAAAGGACTTCTCACGGGTTTTCATTTGTGTGTTCGTCTTGGCCTGCTGCGGCACCAGCACCTGCCGTTTCCCTCTGAGGGACAGGTGGCTGCGGCATTCTCACTGGCGCAGCCAAGGGGGTGGGAGCAGCGCCATCGCGTGTGCCACGGTCGCCGCCCTCCAGCCCCACGCACACCTGGCCCCCCGGAGAGAAGCAGGGGCCGTGCACAGGCGCAGCCTGTACCCTCGGCCCCAACCCCAGCTGCCTGGCAACAGCAGGGCCCGGCAGGCCTGGGGCGCTCTGCCGGCGCGGACGGAAGGGCGTGCGGGCAGGGGAAGGGTGTGCAGGGCCGCCGTCCCCACGGGTGTGGGCGGGGCCCGTGCCGAGGGCCTCTCGGTGTCAGCAGGCGCGGATTGCAGCCCAAAGCCATCCGCCACTCCTGACATGGGGCTTGGAAAAAGTAAGGTTAAGACTGGGGCTGCTCCTAAAGTGGAAGCTTCTTCGTACGAGCCACAGACCTGAGAGGTTTTAGCACGCTTCCAGGAACTCCCTGGGGTGGGGAAGGACACGGGGTCCCGAGGGGTGGGGCCAGACGCTGAAGTGGGCGGGGCCCCGTTTGCAGGCGGAAGCGTCCTGAGCACGCGCTGTTCGGAGACCTACGAGACCAAGACGGCGCTCATCAGCCTGTTCGGCGTCCCGCTGTGGTACTTCTCCCAGTCGCCCCGCGTCGTCATCCAGGTGAGCGGGCGGCCACGCGGCCGCGCGGCGGGCGCCCTCACGTGGCTGGGGGCCATGTGCACCCGTGTGTCTCTGGTGTGTGCGTGCGTGTTGTGCCTCCCGCCCGTTTTTCTCTGGGGTCCTGGTGATCGCAGCGGGTGTGAAACTCGCTCACGCCGTGGAGACGGTCACTCTTCGGAGTTGAAGTTCAAACCCTCTCCCCAGCCTGTCCTTTGATTTTGCTTATGGTGGATTTTTTTTGCCATGCCAAAACTTTTATTTCAGTGTTGTCAGCCTTTTCTCTTCCTGCTTCTGTGTCCTGAGTGGCTAAGAGCTTGTTCAGCTCGAGTCTCAGGGCCTCGCCTCCTCCGCAGCCGGACATGTACCCAGGCAACTGCTGGGCGTTCAGAGGCTCCCAGGGCTACCTGGTGGTGAGGCTGTCCATGGAGATCCGCCCGACCAGCTTCGCGCTGGAGCACATCCCCAAGACGCTGTCGCCCACGGGCAACATCACCAGCGCCCCCAGGGACTTCTCCGTCTACGTGAGTGTGCCCGGCTCTCCCCCCCAGGGCGGGGCGTGCCCCAGAGCTGCACCTGCCGAGAGGAAGGCTCGCGCACGTCCCTGATGTGTGCGCCTGCCCTCGGCCCTCGGCCCGGACCTGCTCCGAGCAGGCGGGTCAGGCGTGAGGGGCACCTTTCCCTCCTTCCCGGGAGGGTGCTTCCCGGGAGGGTGTGCAGGCCTGGAGAAGCGGGCCTCCTCTCTGCCGCCTGTCCCGACGGCCTTCCCGAGAAGCCCGGTCACCGCTGTGGTGGGCCCGGCTCCCAGGCTCCCCGGCTCCCCAGCTGGTGCGGAGGAGGAGCAGCCGCGCAGTCGGCCTCACTCCCGGAGTCGCAGGAGGCCTGCTTTCGGTTCCAGGGCTTAGAAAACGAGTACCAAGAAGAAGGGCAGCTGCTGGGACAGTTTGTGTACGACCAGGACGGAGAGTCGCTCCAGACGTTCCCTGTCCTGGTGAGCTCCGGGGCCGTTCCCACGGTCCCCATCTCCCGGTGGGCGTGGCAGGGCCCGCTGACCTTGACAGAACTGTCAGAAGGGCGTCGGGGGCCTCTGGGGGGCGGGGGAGCTGAGCTCCTAGCTCTGCTCCCAAAGGAGCCCCTTTGGGGGCGCTTTGTTCCTGCACGGTCAGGCCCGGGACGCGTTGTCGGCTCCCCGAGCTCTGTGTCCTGGCTGCCGACGCGGGGCACGCTGGCCAGGGTGCTTGCCGGCCCGGCCCCTCCTCTCACATGCCCCGGCCGGGAAGGCGCCGGGGCCCAGGCGGTCTGCCCCGAGTAAGTGTGGTTTCGCTCTCTCCCTTGTTTCAGAGAAGCCCGGAGAGAGGTTTCCAGATCGTGGAGCTCCGGGTCTCCTCCAACTGGGGCCACCCGGAGTACACGTGTCTCTACCGGTTCCGCGTCCACGGAGAGCCTGTGCAGTAGAGACGCCGGAGGCCGCCGCTGTACATTTTGTATATACTGGGACAGCCCGAGGCCGGCGCGGGGTCCGTCACGGCGAGGACGTGGGGACAGCAGCATCACGGTGCCGACCGCCAGCAGCAGGCGGGGGAACGGGGGCGGCCGACACCGTGATGCTGCTCGCGGTTCTGCCCACGGACACTGTGCGTTGAGTGCTTGGGCGCAGACACCCGCTGGCGACAGGCAGTGCTGGGAATTCATTTGAATGTATGGTTCACAGACACACACTTTGGGGGTTTGTCTTTAAACACAAAGCTGTTCATACTCGTATGTTCCTGACATCAGGAACAAAGCAGATGAGGTTAAAAGGTTTGGCGTGTTCTTGCAGCTTCTACACTTAGCCGTTCACTGGCCCTTTGAAAGGACTTCAGGAGCAGATGGACTTGACCTTCCCAGTCCAGCACACATTTCTTTCAGGGAAAACCAGCGTCAACAAGTTCCAGTTCCCCACTCCTTTCCTGCAGGGTGGGGTTTGTCCTTCACTCCACACGGACAGTCCCTTCACGTCACCGGGGGGGACGGGACGGAAATGTGCTTTCCTGCTTTGCCTGCTCTACTGAGTGAGAGCTTCACAGCCAGACCCCTGTGCTGACCCCCGTTAACTGGGGGCATCTCCCTTTGCTGGGACTCGGGGTGGGGGGCTGCAGTCTGGACGCAGACATGTAGCCCTCCGCTGTCCCCGATGGTCCTGTGGGGTCCCTGGGCATTTTCACGTCACCGTATGAACAGGAACCAAGAAATCTGGTCTTAGGGGTCTTTTTGGGTTTTCTTGTGAATGTTGCTGAAAAGCAAACACTAACGTTCTCCGAATCACTCAGAGGGTTGTTTTTATTTGGATGGTGTCCAAGGAGAAGGTCCCGCGTGGCAAACTCCCACCACTACTCCGCCGGGTGGCGCTGCCCAGCGCGTCCTCCTCGCGCTCCGGCCGGGGTTCGCCTTTTCTCCAGACTGCTGGCCGTCCTCCCTCGGTTCCTGTGACACTCGCTTTGGTTGTAATTAATATTTAATACTGAGAAACTTACCTGAGCAGACTTTATAAATGAGATGTCCACAAGGCACTTGAGGCGTTACAGACGCTTTACTGGGTTAAGCGGTTTCACAGTGTGACGGAAATGTTGTATTTTCAGAAAAAGATGAACTGAGGGTGCTGGCTGGTTTCTGGAGTTTCTTGTATATTGCACAACAGTCCTGAAACACGCAGCCTGCACGGCTGCTCTTGTCACTCGGAATTGGAACCAACGCCTATGCAGTGGAGTTGAACAAAACACACAGATGTTTCCTATAATTACAGGATAAATATATAAATCAGAATTTCCTATATAAAACTAACTTGGGAGTTGGGGTGGAAATATTTTGAATATTAATTTATTTTTAAAGATGCAAGATAGGACTTTGTGCAGTGTATTTTTGTAAATGCTTTTCCAAATATCTGTCTCTGGTAGTGCTCTTGTTGCTGCCACCAAACTAAGATGCTATTGAAATGTTTAAATAAAGAGTTTTAATTTTTAAAAGTGCATGGGGATACTTCCAGTGAATAATAAAACAGCCTGTTTCTAGTCGGCATGCGTTGTTTGTGCGGGAGGGTCGGCTCCATGCCTGCGCCGCGTCCGGGTTTGTTGGCACCTGGCCTGCGCTCCCTGCGGCGCTGCCAGGTCCCGCACCCTCTGCGTCCCCCTTCGGTGCCCCCGACCGCCTCCTGTGCGCCTGGCGCCCAGAGCGAGACCCCAGCGCGGAGAGGCCGAGTCGCGCGTTCAGCAGGACTGCAGGAGGTCCCCCGCCCCACAGCTTCCTCCGGGCAGCAGGTGTGACCCCGGGCGCTCGCGACACGCCGTCCCTCCGCTCTGCGCTGGCTGTACCCGGAAGTCGGGACGGTGTGGGGCTCCCGGGTACGCACGCGCGAGCCCCTCGACCAGGGCGGACCGCCGTCCGCGCGACTCAAACGCCCGCCAGGGCGGGCGGATGCGGAGCTGGTGCTGCCGTAGCTCGGCGCCCGCCCGCCCGCGGCCACCCCGCGCGCCCTTGAGACTTGGCCACGCGCCGCGGGAACCGCTGAAGCACTTCCTGTCACGCCCTCTCCACCCGCCCACGACACCCCAGAGGCACAGGCCCGCGAGACCCGGCTGCGGACGCAGCGGCGTGCCCGACGACGTCACTGCGCCGCCGCGGTCACGTGGCCGCCCGCCAGGCCAACCCACGGTCACGTGGCCGTCCGCCCTTGTCGCGGTCACGTGGCTGCGGGCCGCTCCTCATGGGCCACCGTAGAGAACGTCGGGCGGCCGCCGGGACGGGAGCCGAGAGGCGCTGTTCACCGCGCCTGCGACAGCGTCAGCCCTGCGCGGAGCGCCGGCCCATGGCGGCGGCGGCGGCGGCGGCGGCGGCGGCGGCGATGGCAGAGCAGGAGGGCGCCCGCAACGGGGCCCGCAACCGCGGCGGCGTCCAGCGCGTGGAGGGCAAGCTGCGCGCCAGCGTCGAGAAGGGCGACTACTACGAGGCGCACCAGATGTACCGGACCCTGTTCTTCAGGTAGCCCCCGCCGCCTGGGGGTCCCCGTCCGCCCCGCCCCGCCCTGCCCCGCCCCCGCCCGCCGGCCGGCTCCACTGCCGGGCGCGGAGCCAGTGGGAACGGGCGACGGCCGACGGAGCTCCCCGGCCTCGCCCCCGCCCGCCCGCTCTGCGCACCCCCGGGCTGGTTCCCCGGGCGCCGAGGCGTCTGAAGCCCGCGCGCGGAGTCTCACGGTTTTCCTCCCGTTCGGCACCCGGTCCCAGCTCTTTCCGTTCCGGTGTCCTCGCTCGCCCCCTCGGCGACCCGCCGAAGCAGCGGTGTTTACCGCCGGGCACAGCGGGGGTACCTGCGTTGGCCTCCGGCCACGTGCGTGGGGCTGGGCCGTGGGGTCCGGGTTGCCGGAGAGGTGGCCCCGGGGTCTCAGTGATCAGCTCCCGCGCTGCACGGCAAGCTCCCAGTCTCCCTTGGGCGCGGTGTCCCGGGGTTCCCTTGTCCCGCCTCAACTGCTGTCCCGTCATACTGTTCCTATGTGGGGACGGCCCGCTGGTGAGCGGCTGCTGCCTTGTGCGACCCTTTGTGGTTTGGGGCCGCTCATCAGGTCGGGACGGTCCCCAAGGCGACGTGCAGAATTCATTCTGTCCATGCAGAGCCGTGGGGACAGACCGTGGGACAGACCGTGGGGTCAGCCCTTGGCACCAGGAGGCCAGGCTGTCAAGCTTCTGCCCCGGGCCGGTTAAATCAGTGTCCCTGGCTCTCGGAGGTGGTGTCCGCTCCGGCCTTCGTTGACCAGTTTCTGTTTGGGTTGAGCGCCTTGCCACCGACCGAGCTCGGGCTGCGTGCCTGGAGGGCCGAGTGGATAGTTCTTCGAGGGACCGACCCCAGCCGAGACAGGGCGGTCGCCGCTGCCGCCCTCGCCCCGCCTGCGCCGCTGCCGTGGGAGCTGCTGTAACCTCAAGGTCGCCAAGCGCTGGCTGGTCCTGGGATTCCTGTCACCGTCCGCCCCAGTGATTAATCAGCAAAACTGGGTCTCCCCGAACCAAACGCTGCCTGCCGTGTTTCCAGCCCGTCCCTCGGAGACGCTGCAGAGGAGCGGGATGAGCCTCACGGCGGCGAGTCCCCGAGCCCAGGGGACAGGATGAACGGGCAGCCGCCTCGCCAGCCCGGCCTCCCACCGCTGCTCTGCAGCCTGGGACCCCGACGCCTTGGTGACCCTCCGAGCCCGGCCTCGTCGTGGGCCACGGATGGGGCCCCTCCGCCCCGCTAGGAGTCCTGAGAAGTGAGCGGCCTGCCGAGGGCCTTGTTGGGGACGCGTCCGCGGTGGCTGCAGCAGCACCCGGGAGGCCCCCCTGGGCCAGGCGGGAGGAGGGTCCCTGAAGGTGTGAGGGTGCTACAGTGTGCATCGGGGAGCCCTCACACACGCACACCCCCGAAACGGGCGCCGAGCGGGACGCCGAAGCGCTCGGCAGCCCTGAGGTCGCGCAGCTCGCGGTCGGCGGTCGGCGGGCGCATGTCTGCGGTTTCACTCGCGCAGCACCTGCCCTGCGGACGGGCCGCGTTCGCTCAGCGGGATTGTTTCCAGATGCACGCGCGCGCGTGTCAGTGCGTCGGCCGTGCGAGCGGGGGGCCATTGTGCGGGTGGACCCGGATGTGACGTGTCACCCCGGGCAGGTGCCCACGTCACGACGCACTCGCGTCAATCCTGACGCACGCACGTCAATGCTGACGCAGTTGGAGGAGGAGTTGGGCCTCCTGGCGGGCCGGGGGGCGTCCCCTAGGGTGTGTCCGCAGGACGGGGTCTGGCCGCTGGCGCCCGGGCTGAGCGCGGGCGTCAGCGCTTGGCTCCGGCCCCACGGAGGGGCCGTGGGCGGGCTCCTTGTCTCCTCGGACCGCTCGCACATAAATGTTACTTTGTTGTTTATTTGTTTCTTCTTTTTTTTTAAAAAAAAGGTTTTACTTTTTAGAGAGAGGGGAATGGAAGGAGAAAGGGAGAGAGAAACATCAGTGTGGGGTTCTCTGTCATGCGCCCCCTGCTGGCGACCTGGCCCGCAACCCAGGCCTGTGCCCGGACCGGGAATCGAACCGGTGACCCTTTGGTTTGCAGGCCGGCGCTCAGTCCACTGAGCCGCACCAGCGGGGCGGTGTTACTTTGTCTTGATGGACTGCCCCCTCCTTGCTGTGAAATGTCCGTCTTTGTGTTACCGTCCTTGTCCTGAAACTCGTTGTGCCTGAGGTGGTGGCGGCACCCGCGTTCTAAGGGAGACCACGGCCCCGGACTCGGAGTTCGTCTTTGGGCCGAGCACAGTGGGGCCTCGCGTGGTGACCCGCCGGCTCCCTGGGGGCTCTGGCAGGCGCCGGTCCAGTGGCGCTGGCCTGGGAGGGGCCGCAGCCCCGGCCGTGCAGCCTTTGTTTTCCGGCTGTGCGCCGGCCTCGCTGGTCCTCTCTCCGCGAGTGGCGGTTTCGGGCCAGTGGTTCCCTCTGTTTTCTCCCCCCACGTTTCCCGCCGGCCTCGGGTGTCCGCGCTGTGGGCGGGTGAGCCTGTGGAGCGCACCGCGCCCCCAGAGGAAGCCGCTCTGGGCCTGGCTGCTGCCCTCGCTCCCTGTCCGGGGGCCGCCGGCCCCTGCTCACTGCTCCTGTCTGTCACCGGGGTCTCTCTCTGAGCCAGCCCCTGGTCAGCTGCGGTGCGCGGAGGCAGCAACCGCACTTCGGTGCTGCAGTGAAGTGCGTGCCGCACCCTGTCCTGGGTCCCAGGGACAGGGCTTTGCTTCTGTCTGTCTGTCTGTCTGCGGCCCCGCCCCCGCGGCCCCCTTGCTGGACCCGGCGTGGGCCGCTGGTGTCTCTGCCTGCGGTTCTCTCCAGCGCCTCTGCGGGTCGCTGTCTCCTCCCCCCCAGAGGCCTTGGGAGCACTTTTTTTGTCACTCACCTTTTGGACAGTGTGAGCAGCCTGCGTCCTGGGGAGGGTCTTCTGCGTCTCGGTGACAGCGTCCTGCCAGCACGCGAGAGGCCAGTCCCCGCCCTGCGTCCGGGGAGTTCCTGGGCCTTCCTCCCGACTGGCCCTCTGCTCTCAGCTCCCCCCTCGCTCGCTCCGGACCAGGACCCTTGGGCAGTGCCCTCCCGCCCCCCGCCTCCCAGGTCCCTCCTGCGGGCCTGGCTTCAAGCTGCTCCTCCTCGGGGCCCTCTGTCCCCCGCCCCCCGCACGGGGCTCTGCAGCCTGGGCTCCGGTCTGGTTCCCCTCACGCCCCTTTGGTGACGTGCCCGTCGCTTTGCTCCCGAGCGCGCGCAGCTGCCGCCGCAGAGCCTGCAGCCTGTCGGGCGGCCTCCTGGAGGCTGCTGAAGGCTCCGTGTCCTCGGGTCCCTGGGCACGGCTGGTGTCCCTTCCGGTGGCCCCACCATCACCGTGCTCCTGGGGCTGGTCTCCAGGGGGAGCGCAGTCCCTCGCTCAGGTGCCCGTTCCTGTGACTAGCTCAGGCTGGTGCCTGGAGGGGGTGGTTCTGCTTCCAGTGGACGGCACTGCACCCGAGTTTTTCTGTCACCTGGGCTGCCTGCACCCCCGGGGGGAGGGGCGCTATGGTCCTGGGGGCCTCGGCCCCCACCTGGGGGACCAGGGTGGCAGTGTCCCCACAGCATTCGTGTCACCTGGGCCTCGCAGCAACCACCATGGTAGGGGTGTGGCAGGTGGGGGAGGGGCTTGCGAGCTGCTGCCCGCTCCCGTGCCTGGTGGCCGTTGCCGCCAGGCTGTCTGGGGACGGAGCTGGCATTCAGGTGCTGGTGCTGCCACTGGGCCCTGTGGGAGCCGTTCTTGCATTTGGGGGGCACTGGCTGTGTGTACCGTCCCCACCCCCCTAGTGCCCGTGTCCCAGAGTGGGGGTCTCTCAGGCATCCTGGTGCCAGGGGGCAAGGAGCCTTCGTTGCGACACGGCAGGGGGCGAGCCGTAGATTTCTGGGGAGACACACGGGGTCTGCCGCACCGCACGGCGCTTCCTCTGACAACAAGGGCAGGACGAGCTGCACTGCCCGTGGGCGACGCCCTCCGCCAGCAGCTGGCCCCCGTTGGGGGGCGGGGGCTCGGCCGCTCTCGGCCCCACTCGGCCACCAGGGCCCCTGCGCCGTCCCGCTGTCTGTCGCCCTCGCCTCTCTTCCCCGGCTCTCCCGGGTTCCTCTTGGGGGGGGCTGCCTGGGGGCCGTCCGACCTCTGCCCCTCGTCCCCGGAAACAGGCCCCACTGTCCCAGGGACTCGGTGTGGCTGCCCCTCAGGCGTGTCTGTGCCCCACCTGGGCCTGCCCCCCGCCTGGGCTCTCACTGCCTGAGCCGGGGGGCCCGGTGTGTGTCCTCGGCCAGCGGAGACGGGCTGCGCGGCTGCCGGCCCTGGGGGTCCCTGCAGGTGGAGCCCCGTCCGGGCGCTCGCCGGGGCTCCCGCGGCAGAGCTGGGGCCAGGTCACATGTGTGTGTGTGCGTGCACGCATGCATGCGCTTGTGTGGGTGCGTGGCAGGGGCCCGTGGTGTCGGCCGACCGCAGGGACTGCACCCAGTTCGCGTTGTCCTGGCAGGAGGCGCGCTGGTCACTGCCGGCGTGCTCGCGTCCCCCTGATCTCCCGGCACCGCCCTCTGGCGGCTGGGCGTAACTGGCACCTGCCCCCCCCCCCCCCCCCCCGTCCCCTGTCGCAGGTACATGTCACAGAACAAGCACGTGGAGGCCCGGGAGCTCATGTGCTCGGGAGCCCTGCTCTTCTTCAGCCACGGCCAGGTGAGCGGTGGGCGCCGCCGGCGTGTCCCTGCCTGGGGCGTGGCGCTGTGCCGGGGCTGGGCATCGGGGTGACCTTGCTGTGTCTTCTGGACACGGGACCCCCGTTCTGACCGTGGGGGTCCCGTCTGCTTTCACGTCTCGTAGCAAAACAGTGCCGCGGACTTGTCCATGCTGGTCCTGGAGTCGCTGGAGAAGGCCGAGGCGGAGGTGGCCGAGGAGCTGCTGGGTGAGCTTTCTCACGGGGCGACCCTCCCCCCCACGCGCGCCAGGGGCACCACGCTGTCGGCCACCGGGACCTGCCCCCTGGGGCTGCGAGGAGACCCCTGCCGCCGGCTGGCTCCCCTGGGCGTGGTTGGGGGCAGCATGGGGCTGCGAGCTCCCCCCCGGGCGAGGGCCCGTTGCGCGGTCGGCCCCCTCGGACACGCTGCGGGGAGAGCCGAGGCCATGCCCGCTCTTCCGCAAGGGTCTGTGTGTGCTTTTTCTAGAAAGCCTGGCGAGACTGTTCAGCCTGATGGACCCGAACTCCCCAGAGCGAGTGGCCTTCGTGTCCAGAGCCCTGAAGTGGTCCGGCGGAGGGTCCGGGAGGCTGGGCCACCCGCGGCTGCACCAGCTGCTGGCCCTCACCCTGTGGCGAGGTGGGTCTGCCGTGGGCGTGCAGGGCTCCCGCGGGCTCCCCTCGCTCCCCTGCGGACCTCGGGGCTTCTCGGCCACGGCGGACGGGGCGCCCGGGCCTCTGCCTCCTCTCGGTCGTGTCCTGAGGCCGGGGACGCCGCCCAGCCCGGGGTGGGGCTGTGACCGTGTGGCGGGGCCCGGGCAGCGTCCTGCCCCCCAGGCCGGCGCCCAGCGGTGGTGCCCGAGTCCCGGTGCCGGTCCTGCCTCCCGCTCGGCGCCCGGGGACTCCCGTGTGGGTGCCGGGCTCCGGCCTGTGGCTCGGGCCCACGCACGTGTCCCGCCTGCGTGCCGGGCGCAGCTGCGTGAGGACGAAGCCACCAAGCAGAGTGGCCAGCAGCAGGCAGCCTGGGGTCCCGGCACCTGCGGTCACGTCCAGGGCCAGGTGCAGCCTCCCGGGCCTCGGAGGGGCAAGCAGGCGTGAGGCGGGGGGCCTGGGGCGCACGTGGTCCATCTCCTCAGGCCGGTGTGCAGCAGGCGCAGTGCAGGTCGGGGGCTCCTGGCGGACTGCGGCTCACAGCCCCACCCACGCCACCGTGGCTCGCGGAGCCACCCTGTCAGACCGTTCAGCGGGGTCACTGCCCTCGCGGCAGTGTGCTCCGGGGTGGCCAGGGGCGGCCGGAGCTGCTGGGTGGGGGGCGGGTGGCGCCTGGTGTCTGGGCTGGGTCGTCGGGGTGCAGCCCGACGGCAGGGGAGCTGGGAGTGTGAGAGAAGGTACACCTTTAGTTTTCTTAAATGTGGTCTTTATTTCTTAGGGGGGCGGGGGGAGGGAAGCGTTGATTGCGCACCCCCATCCAGCGGCCGAACCGACAGCCAGGCCCACGCCCTGACCAGGAATTGAACCGGTGACCTTTCGCTTTGCCGGGCGACGCCTGTCCCACGGCCGCACCAGTGAGGCCAGGGGCCCGCCTCTGTGCCAACGGGGCCCCTCTCCCCCTCGCAGAGCAAAACTACTGCGAGTCGCGGTACCACTTCCTGCACTCCACCGACGGCGAGGGCTGCGCCAACATGCTGGTGGAGTACTCCACCGCCCGGGGCTTCCGCAGCGAGGTGGACATGTTCGTGGCCCAGGCCGTCCTGCAGTAAGTAGGGGCCGGCTCACGCCTGTGCCCCCCCACCACGTGTCTGCTCCTGGGCGGGGCGGAGGGCCGCATCTCCGTGGGGTGACGGGCGTCGGGAACTGCGGCCCGGAGGCCATGCTCATCCCTCCGGGAGTCCCTGCGGCAACACGCCGTCCCCACGGGCACCAGCGCCCGGTCCCTTCCCTGGCTGCCTTCCCGACGGTTTTGCTGAGTGTCAACACCGACACGCAGCATGGGGTGGGCTCGCTTCCTGCACAGACACCCTGGGGTCCGGGGGCCGGGCGTGGGGGCTGGGCGAGGGGGGCCCCCGGCCCGCAGGTCTGGCGCGTGGTGTTCGGCGGAGACGTTCTCTCTGGGCTGAACGTGGCCCCGAGTGGAGGGTCTCAGCCCCCTTTGCACGGCCCCTCTCTGCGCCCTGGTAAGAGGGCTGATTGCGGGCGCCCGCGCCTCTGCCTGCCCCACTGTGGGGACACCCTCCACCCCCCCCCCGGGCCTCGGACACCCAGGCCCCGGGCTGTGCGCACGTGGGTGGGGCCCAGTGAGCGCTGACAGCCGTGTGCGGGGGTGGGGCCCCTCTGTCCCCTCTTCTGTCTGCCCGGGACCCCGTGCCCACCCGCCCCCACACTCTCCGCTCCTGAGCCCTGGAGGCCCGGTGCACCGGCTCTGGGTCGGGGCCGAGTGGCCGCACTCAGGGGGGCCGCGCCCTCGCCCCAGGTTCCTGTGTCTGAAGAACAAGAGCAGCGCCTCGGTGGTGTTCGCGACCTACACCCAGAAGCACCCCTCCATCGAGGACGGCCCCCCCTTCGTGCAGCCGCTGCTCAACTTCATCTGGTTCCTGCTGCTGGCCGTGGACGGGTGAGCGTGTGTGCGCGGGCGGGGTGCGGGCGCCCTCGGCCCTCGCGTCGTCCCCCCCGCCCCCAAGGGCCCTCCCCACCCTCGGGCCCCAGGCGGCCGCGGAGCCCAGCCCCTGCTGTCTGGTCTGTTCCAGGGGCAAGCTGACGGTGTTCACGGTGCTATGCGAGCAGTACCAGCCGTCGCTGCGGCGGGACCCCATGTACAACGAGGTGAGGGCGCGGGGTGGGGCCGCCGGGGTCCCCGGGGCCCCCAGGGGGCGGGGGTCCCTGCGCTCGCTCACAGCTGCCACCCCCCCCCCCCCGCCAGTACCTCGACAGGATAGGACAGCTCTTCTTCGGGGTGCCGCCCAAGCAGACGTCTTCCTATGGAGGCTTGCTAGGTAAGGCCCCACGCACCTGCCGGCCGCGCCTCCACCGCCCCGGGGCCTTCTCCCCGTTCCCCCAGGGCCTCCTGGGCTGCCACCGCCGCCCCCCCCACCCCCCCGGGCTCCCTGTTCACGGTCACAGGATGGGGGCCGGGTTTCTCTTCCGGCTTCTTTATTGTGGGAGCCACGCAGGACACAGAACGGGCCACTTTCACCACTTCTGAGTGGGGGGCCATCACCCCGTCCTCCCGGGACGTTCTCACCTGCCCCCACCCCTCCCCACACAGGCCCCCCCCCCCACCTGGCCCCAGGCGCCCCCCATGTGCGGGCCGCCCAGGCCCTCAACACTGTCCTCTCCAGGTCCGCGGAGAGCCGGCCCCCGGCCTGGGCTGCCACCGCCTGTCGGGCGCTGTGAGCGTCGGAGCGTGGGGTCCAGGCGGAGACCCTGCGTTCGGCTCCCCGGGGCACAGGCCCTGGAGTGGCTGGGTGCCCGCCGCCGGTGCGTGAGGGCCGTGCCGACGCCGCCGTCCCCCCGGGCGTGCGGCGGTGCCACATGGTCCCTGTTTGCGATGGTGCGTCCTCCTGTGGGCGCCGCGGCCACTCGGGCGGGCGCCTTTGGGTTGGATGGTGTTGTTCCCCGGGTGTTTCCTGGATGTCGATCCCTCCAGGTACACCTTCCCAAGCCTGTTTCCCGGCCGGGGCCGCGTTCTCTCCTCTGAGGCCGTGCATTCGGAGCAGCGTTGGGTCCACAGCAGAAACTGGGGGCAGGCAGGGAGGTTCCCCGCGTCGCGCCCACCCCTCTGGGCGCACACGGCCCCCACAGAGGGGCCGCCCTCCCCCCTGGGCCCCCCGGGCTTCTCCGCGCTTCGCGGGAGTCCACCCTCAGGACGCCTGGGCCCTCGGGGTCACGGCCAGGAGGTGCGTGCGGCTCTGCGTCGGGGAGCCCCGGCGCCTCGGCTCCTGCGTCCCGGCCTCCGGCGCGTTTTCAGTGCGTCCCCGTGTGCGCACGCCACGTCAGGGCCCACCCTCCCCTCCCCTGTGGGTGCCCCGGGCGCTCAGCTGGCTTCCTGTGGCGGCCTGCCCGGCCCCTGTCCGCCGCCTGAGCTTCTGGTTTGCTCCCGGCTGCCCACCCCGGCCCCGTCCTCCTCCTCCAGGCTGTTCTGGCTGCTCGGGCCCCTGACCTCCCGCAGAAAGTGTGTCACAGGGGGCGTGGGGAGGGAGGGCGGTGGGTCTGGGCCGGGCCGGGAGGGGGGGGCGGTGCCCCCACCTCGTCCCACAGCGCCCGCGGGCCCCTCGCACGCGCCTCCCCCCCGAGGACGTGGCTGCCGGGGCGGGACCGTGGGTGCGACTGCAGGTCCAGGTTTTCGGAGCTGCTGCCCACGACGCAAGGGACTGTTGGTTGCACGTGGATTCCGTGTCCTGCAGCTTGGCTGAATCCCCGAGTTAGTTTCAGCAGTTTTGAGGTGACGGCGGTTAGGGTTTTCTGCACGTAGGGCCTTGTCGCCTGCAAACAGGTAGTTTCACCTCCTCCCTTCCGGTTTGGAAGCCTTTCCTTCCTCTCCCGGCCTGCCTGCCCCGCTGGGGGTCTGCGGGCCCCTGACAGTGCGTCTGCTTCCAGGTAACCTCCTGAGCAGCCTCATGGGCTCCTCGGAGCAGGAGGGCGAGGACAGCCAGGACGACAGCAGCCCCATCGAGCTCGACTGACGCCGCCTCCACCTGCACGAGGCCCTCGGCCGGCGGCGTGGTCCCGCGTGGGAGCCCGGCCCCTCCCCGTTCGGAGGCTGCGGCAGCTGTGTAGGCGCCTGTGGGCGGGCCCCGGCCGGGGGCGGGCGGCCGCGGCCTCGGGTTGCCCCACAATAAAGCACAGGCCCGCGCGCCGGCCTCCCCCAGTCCTTTGTTTCTGGTTTGCTTTGGGTGCCGGGGCCCGCCGTCGGCCGACCCCACGTGCACGTCCCCTGGTGGCTCCGGGGCCACTCCCTGCCACGCCCCCAAGGCCGCTGCCGGGCGCCGGGCAGGTGTGTGGAGGCCACTGGACTCGCACCTTGTGGAGCCGCGTGCGCCCGGCAGCGCTGCCTCCACCCTCGTCCTGGGCGTTGACCGGCAAGCGGCCTGCAGCAAGGGGCCCGGCCCACGGACGCCCGCAGGCGCTCCGGGGCGGCTGGAGCGGGACACACACTCCCTCCACAGTCGGAGCGGGAGCAGCGGACTGACACGCGGTGCCCGTGCCCGGAAGGGGCAGCGTGGGCCGCTCCGTGGGCCCTGACGGTGGGACTGGAAGCTTGTGTTCCTGTGGAGTGCAAATAAACCCTTTCTACTGGGCTTCGCAGCACTGGCTCTTTCTGGGGGGCTCCTGGGGCGGGGATGCCGCCGAGCAGAGGCCCGCAGCCCCGGCCAGCGCACGAGCGTCCCCCCCAGGTTTCGGTCTGGAGAAACAGTCTGCTGACAGGGCAGGCAGAACACACAGCCGCTGCAGGGGGGCCCCAGGGTGCGGCCGGGGACCCCCGGGGTCCTCTAGAGAGGGTGGGGCGGGGCGTGGGGAAGGTGGGTGCGGGGCTGGAAACCAGGAGTTGCCCCTGACGGAGCGGCCGCACTCGGGGGCGGAGCGCACGTTGTCGTGTGCGGCTGCCCCCAGGACCCATCCCAGACAGACTCGGCACACGCCGGCCGAGCGGCCGTGCAGCACACGCCCCCTCCTGCCTCCACCGTGGAACTGCACGCGCTTCCTCACGGCCCGCCAGCCGGACCCCTGCGGCAGGGCCTGCAGCCGCCCCGCCGGTCAGGGAAGGTGGCTGCGGGGGGCACAGTCCTTTGCTGGGAACTCGGCGTCCCTGCACTGCCTCCCCCTTGGGGCACGGTGGGAGGAACTCGGCCAGAGAGCCCCGGACACTCCCTGCACGGACCCGCCGGCCCACAGACCAGACGGGGAGTGGCCCCGTCCACTCAGGGGCCCGCGGCCAGCAGGGTGGCCAGGCCTTCTCCCTGGTCCTGGGGAGTTGGCCCAGCCAGTCCTGACGCCCTCCCCTCGTTTCTTGCTAACACGCTAAGGGGGCCCGTTTCCTGGCCGGATGCGCGGGCACGCACAGGGCAGAGCTCACACGCCCGCACTTGTGGAGCGGGCGCCCCACGTCCGGGTGCAGGGAGGGGCGAGGCGGCCGGCCCAGGAGGGCCAGGGGGCTGCTGGCCTGCGCGCAGGGCCCCTCGGGGTTGCCCTCTGACCCGGGTCTCCCCTTGGTCAGTGAGGGGGCGGCGGCAGGGGCAGGGCAGCTGCAGACCTGGGTTCAGAGGAAAGGGGTAAACCGGCCGCCCCCACCGGCAGGTCTCGGGGAGCTGCCCCGTCTCCTAGGCCAGGCCCCGCGGCCTCCTGGGAAAGGGCTCTGCACCACCTCCTCCTCCCAAACACCGTCTCACAGACCCCCGCCCCGGGCAGTGGGGCCGGTGCACCTGGGGGGGGGTCCCAGTGGCTGTAACTGCTGGGGAGACGGTGGCATGCTGGGCCCCGGGGGTGGGGGAGCTGGCCTTGGGCCTCCGCCTTCTGAGGGTTCGAAGAAGGTGAGGTCTGGCTGGGGGAGGGGAGGCGGCGCCTGGGCAGTGAGGCACCCCAGGGGGCAGGAGTGGGCAGCCTGGAGACCTCTGACCCCCGGGGCCCGTGTGCCCTCCAGGGCAGCTTGAGGTTGGAGGCGGTGCGCCCCCTCCAGCCCCCAGGACTGCGAGACTGACACCCAGCAGATGATCAATAAATACTTATTGGGGGGACTCAGGGTGGGCATGCAGGCCGCCGGTAGTCCCCAGTCCAGGCCCCCAGTCCGGGGGGCGCCACGGCGGGGGTGGCAGGGCGAGTCAGTGAGGGGCTGTGTGACCCCCGGGGGGGGGCTGGGGGTCGGGGCAGCACGCGTTGTCCGTGGTCGGGCCGGGGGCCACTGCGCGGCTCCAGCTCAGGTCCCCGCCACGTCTGGGCTGCCCGGGCACCGGTGGCGGCTTCCTCGGTCCGCTGGCCCCGCTGCCCGGGCCCGGCCACGTCGCCGAGTTCACGCTCCTCGGGCCCCCGGGGCCGGCGCTCGCTAGGGCTTGTGCTTGAAGTGGGCTTCCACTGGAAGAGGGACGGGCGTCAGGCTGTGCCCCGGCCCCACGGGGCTGCCCGGCCCCGGCCCGGCCCGGCCCTCACCTGCGTACTCCTGCGGCAGCATGGGCCTGTCCACCACCTTCCGGAAGGCCTCCACCCAGGCCCGCTGCTCGGCCTCCGTCTCGCAGGCCAGCAGGAACCTGCGCTCCGGCGTGACGATGGTGATGCCGTGCGGCCAGTGGTGGCCCTGGGTGGACGCGGGCAGCCTGTCCAGCACCGTGTAGCCGCTCTCCCTGCTGCCGATGAAGACCTCTCCCCGGGCGAAGGCATCCTGGGGGGGGAGGCGGGGGGGCGCAGGCTGAGCAGCGCAGGGACCCACCAGGGGCCACAGGGGCTGTTCCCCGGGCAGCTTCCGGTCCAGGCCCAGCCGTGCACAGAGCTGGGGGATGCCAGCGGGCCCAGGGTCCCGGGAGCCGCTCCTCCCTCCCAGCGGAGCTGGCCGGCCAGGGTGCGCTCGGCCCCGGGGCGGCGGGAGCAGGCGGCACGCCCACCTTGCACGGACTCCGGCCCCGGCCGAGGCCCCGGCTTACCAGGGGGTCCTTGAAGTACATGAGCCTGCGGTCGTCCATGGTGAACCAGCGCCTCCGGAAGCCTTCCGTCTGCTGTGGGTTGGAGCGCCAGGGCCCGGCTGTGGTCTGAGGCCAGCCCTCGCCCCAGCTGACCACAGCTCACCCCGGGGGGCAGAGCCCTCGCCTCAGCCTCCCCCGCCCGCCCCGGGCCCAGGCAGGGTCTGGGCCGTGGGGCCACCGAGTGCTGGGAGGGTCCCCGTGTGGCCGGGGTGGGGCCCAGCAGGGGCCCAGGTACAGGGTGGAGAGGGCCAGGGCTGACCCGAGGGGGACCCGTCAGTGGGGCCCCTGTGCTTACAAAATATTCTGGGGGCCAGGACCATCCACCCCGAGATGACCCTGCAGGCAGGGACGTGCCGGCCAGCTGAGGCCTCACCTTCCCACCCCAAGGCAACCCCCCCAGGTGACCGGTGCTGACCCCCGTGTGAGACCCCGGGGGGCCCAGGGCAGCTGCAGACGCACCTTGGGCCCCGTTTTCTCCATGTATCCCTCCTTCAGGTAGTTCCGGGTCAGCTTCGGCACCAGCTGGGGAGGGGAGAGGCTCAGCTGCTCCGTCCACCACCCCCCCACCGCTCCCCACGAGCCCCAGCTCCCGCTCCCTCCCCCACAGCTCAGCTCAGGCGCCCCGGAATCCAGAAGGGTTGCTGTGGTCCCTTGTGGGGCCACTGGCCTCAGGGCAGGGTCCATGGGGGGCCATGGTCAGCCCCCGGCCCACCCCCATCCTACCCTCCCCCTCCGCGGAGGCAGCCACGGCAGCAGCCACTCACGTCGGCGTCGCTGGCCCCGGGGAAGGCCACCTGCAGGTAGTGGAAGCGGGCGGCTCGGAGGGCGTTGAACCAGTCCACCGTCTCCTGGGGGCGGAGGCTGCCTGTGGGCGCGGCCCGGGGACAGGCCGCACCACCCACTCCGGCCACCCCCCACCCAGGGTGCACCTGTGGGGCCTGGAAGGACCCAGTGGGGACCCCACTCAGGCAGGGGGGCAGCAGGCGGGGCTGACGCCCGTGCCAGCCACCCAGACGCTGACGCCGTTTGGGCGCGAGGGGCCTTTGCTCCTCCCGGTGGGGCTGTTCCTGGGGTCCCCCCCCCCACTGCCTGCCCTCCGCCCTCTGCCCTCCGCCCTCCGCCCTCCGCCCCACGGGGGCTCCTGGCGAGGCTGCGGAGAACTCCTGCTCACACTGAGGGCGGGGGGGGGGTGGGGTGGGGGGTGGGGGGCGTTTTCCAAAGGACTAACCCCCGGAGCCCTGGGTGTGGCGCCAGGAGGCACAGAGCCCTGGGGCCGAGGAGAGCCAGGCAGCCCTGCCGGGTGCACAAGGAGCCCCCCCCCACAGGAGCAGGCCCCCCCAGGAGCAGGCCCCCACAGCTGTGGGCGGGGCTCTGAGGAAGGAGGCCCGGAGGAAGACTGCCCCGCCCCCCGCAGGTGCCCGAGGGTCAGGTGTTGGGGGCAGAGGGGCCACTGCCCAGGAACTGAAGTTACGGTCCCTCCTGGGGCCGTGTGGGCCGAGGGTGGTTCCCTCCGGGGAAACCGACCCCCGGAGACCTGCCCCTGGAGGATGGAATCAAGCCCCTGGCTGGACAGGCGCTGGCCAGGGCGAGGGTGCTGGGCCATGCACCCGGGACGCGCTCCCTGGGAAGGGCCTGGGGAGACCAGGGGGCTCTGCAGCGGGGGGGTGGGGGGCCCGGAGCAGCAGCGACGGGTGTGGGGGACGGAGGTGAAGACGGTTCCCAGGGAGGAGCCGAGACAGGAAGCGGCAGGGACAGAAGAGGGAGGGGCCAGGTCGGAACTGCAGGGGCTGCAGGAAGCAGGGCCAGTGCAGGGCATAGGACCCTCCGGGGCCAGGGGTGGGTGCTCCAGCACCTCCCGGTCACGAGGGAGCACCCACTGCTCCCAGAACCCTGCGGCAGCACCGGGTCCAGCACGGGCTCCGGAGACACCCTCCGGGCGTGGGGTCTCGGGAAGCGACTGGACTTGGTCAGCAGTGGGTGCAGCTCCAGGACAGGCGCCCCAACGGCTGGGGCTGGGGCTGGGGCTGGGGCTGGGGCCCCGGGGCCCCTCCCCAGGGTGCCCAGCAGCACCCTGGCTCACCTGGCCGGGTCCGAGGGGGGTCTGGGGAGTCCTAAGCATGCAGGGAACCAGGCTGTGGGGGCAGCAGCTCTGGGCTCCAGGAAAAAGGCCCGTCCACGCTGGAAGGAGAAGTCTGCCCCGGCTCAGGCCTGACAGCGGGGCAGACCTGCAGCGGGCGGTGGCGTGGGGGCAGCGGGTGGAGCTAGAGGGGGTCCCCGTGGGAGGGGGCGCCGTGGAAACGCCTGGGAAGAGGGTCCTGGGGAGCGGGGGGAGCAGGGACCAGTCTCCCCAGCTGGACGCAGGCGGACTCCCCATCGGACACTTGGGGGCCGGGAGGCAACAGCCCAACTGTTCTGGGGGAACAGACCTGTCGGCCGGGAGCCGCATGCCTCGGAAAACCAGCCTTCCAAAGGCAGGGAGGGGTCCAGGCGCCCCCAGGGAAACGAAAGCTGGGGAGCTCATGGCTGGCAGACCTGCCCGCCCCCCAAGAAAAGCTCACGGGAGTTCTGGAGACGCCAGGGCCCTCCCCGGGCCGCGTTGCATCACAGCCGCCGAGAGGCGCGTACGCGGC